CTCCCACATCCTTTCTTCGGCATACAACAAGATAAGACAAAGCTCGCTTTTCTCAACTGGCTTCCTATCCTTGCGTGCTCACTTAACAAGAACTGAGCCGGGTGATTGCCAACTCGATGCCCAGCTCACGGAAACTAGGCATCTTCGAGTGTCTATTGAACCCATGTCCGGAATGAGTATCTTGTCAGCCACACCGACTGTCTCGGACCGCTCTGATCTAGAGCGCAATCCTGAAAGATCCTCTGTTGAGGACATTGTCTCCCGTGTTGCTCGAATCCGCTGCAATGCAGCTATAGAAGAAATAGAATCCAAGGTCAAAATGCTAGGATTCGAGCCACTCAATCCGAGGGCATGGAAAGTTGACATTCGAAGGATCTTCCCACCGAATGTGCTACGCTTCACACTCTTTTCTCATCAGCTTTGGGGACGGAATTGGATTGTGGCAGCAACTAGCAGCATGGATAGCGATTCTTGGTGGGTTGTGCAACTTCGCCCAACGGTGCCTGCAAAGGGTCCTCCCGTCCCTCATGGAAGCGGCCGTGGCCAGTCTGTCCTCCGTTCCGCTCAGGTTGTCACAGATTCATTCTTCCCCGCACGCTATGATATTGACGATGCATACCTCGCAAACCTCGGACACAGTCTTTCAGGAATTCTGGCCATTCATTCCAATGCACGCTACTTGTCGGACTTGCAGTCTATCAAGTTCCATCCCCCGCCACATAAGTTGAAGATTGAACCTGATCTCCGAGTGCCAGATATCCTTGTCCGGTACGATGTATCAACTCTTCCTAGTGTCTTTAGGGCAGCCATGCCCGTCAAGGCAAAGAAGAAGAGTCTCATTAGAGATACTATTCGTCTTGCTTTCCATGGAGTTGATCCTCGTGAGAAGTGCGCTATCATGGTAGCTTATGGCAACTTGGTCGATTCTACGGCTACATTAGGTCCACTTATCTCGAGCTGGGATCGCTCACTAGTGTTTCAAAAGGGAGGCAGTGGCTTTGCGATGCGTTTGCTTGCACCTGCGGGTCACCCGGTCATCGCCAGCCTTCTTGAGAATTTGCAGAGGCTTGAGTGTGTGCTTTCCGTTCTTGAGTCACTGCAACGGAAAAAGGTAGAGATTCGGACCTTCTCGCTATCGAGTATATCCTTTGTTTATGGTCCAGAGAAAGATCTTGCGGCTAGCCTCAATATACATCTGTCAAGGAACGAATCACTCATGGAGCTTAGCCCTACTGAGCTGGCATCCAGGTCCGAGTCTTTATTTGGTCTGCGTTTAGGCATACAGTTCGGTCTTCAAAACCCGCACCGCCGAATCCAGGATTCCCTTGCGTCTAGTCTAAACCGCTCTTCCACCGAGGCGGGACTTGAGACCGTTGTTGAGCTCCTCACGCTTACGCTTCCCCTGATGAGGGCTTTGGACCAGCTAATGGCCAATCCCTCATACAGCGGGCCTTTGAGACTGCACGTAACAGTGCGCAACGCTAAGACGTACCAAATTCACTACCCTGGGGACGAGGCTCGATTTAAATTGGTGGCTGCTTCGCACCAAAACCGGTTGGTTTGGGTACTCAAGGACGCGAACAGCCAAGGAAATAGTAAGAACAATGACAGTATCACAGCCAGACTCAGACAGACACTGTATACATCGAAGGGCGATGGCTGGAAAGGGCTTGAAACTGGAGTCGTGGCAGAAGTCAACCAAGTCGGAAACCTCTTACGAGAACTTGAGAATTGCTTTGTTGCCTCCCGGGCTGATCCTGCCGATTCTGCTGCCAACTTTAGTGGATCGAACAATCCAGGAACCTCGGCGTTGGAAACCGAAAAAGGGACTGCAGATGGTGCTAAATTTTCCCTCTCAGACCCGCTTACAACCATGCCGAACGACAAAAGCAATCTTTTACAGGCAGACACGGCAGCGCAGAAAGAGGATATAATCATGATCGACTGAAACCGCTCATGACCACTGCCTGGACTAGTGCATCTTAGGCATCTATTTTTTTTTCACTTGAAACGTATTTGTTTTCTTGACCATCCTTTGCGTCTTGTACAGTGTCTACAGGTCGAGCTCTTTGTGATTAGAGGCTCCCTATTATGCCAGCTGCTGTGGTAGCCGAACGCATGCATACGTTTTGGCGTGTGCTCCTTGTGGTTGAATTATAAAGTCTTGGGAAGAATATTGTCTAATGAGGTGAGATATGCCTTGGGTGTCAGAGGGCCAAAAAGGGAAAATCGTTTCTATTGTGTCCTATAGCAATACCCGTTCATTGCATGATGCGAATGTAACCGCTCACCGTACGTCAAAACACAATTGTATATTTACACAACACCAAGTCGTTAACCTCGCAAGAAATTAATATTTTCGAGCACCTAGTGCATAAGTTCCGTCACGTAATTTCCCGCTACAGGCGTTCCTGCTGTACCCTGCCTCGATTCTTGACGGCATCATACTCAATCCACCGGACAAACGATAGTTCGCCCTCCGGAACAAGCCGGCCAGGATTCATCACATGGCAGCCCTCATACGTTATACAAAACGGTGCGGCCTCTGGATCTGCAAGAATAATTGCAGTTGGGAGCGGATACAGCTGTAAGGAAGAGACGTAATCCCACAAAACGGGCCGCAAAGAAAGCGGGAAAGGCGACAAAGTGCCCTGGTCTAGAATCGATTTCACAAGCCTTCGAGCGAAAAGAGTTGTACTCGGGGTTGGATTAGAATCAGTGCCTGTCTGTGGGCTCTGGTTGTGAGGTTCGAGATGGTCGGTAGTCTCCCCAGGAGATGCGTGCGCGTCTTCAGCTATCGCGGTGTCGGCGCCGTGGGAGAGGTTTACAGCGTTTCGTCTTAATCTGTTAGAGATATCGTCTCTGAATATCGCAATATCATGGACAGGCCCAAATAGGGTAAGGCGGGAAGGATTTGAAGTCCATATTGCCTCCCCAGGAGGCCCAGACGACTGTGAGTCCGACTGCGAGTTGGCAGTAGCAAATGCACGTTTCACCCTGGTAGTAAATAACTCTGGAATCGAATGGCGGGGGACTGGGGAGGCGGCGCCAGCTGAGAAAGCCGACGGCCATGGATCATTGTCGCCCGGAACAAATATGAATGTCGAGTGCTGCAACAATGAAGGAAACTCCGATAGTATCAAGGAGAGAGCATCAAAATGTTCTTTGTACTCAATGCTGCCCGCCTGGCCACTGCTGTTTATAATCGCTTTCTGCACGAAATTCCCCGTCAGGACAAATATGCTTGGCCGCTCCTCCGAAGGCAATTGGTGATAGACGCTGAAGACCTTCCGCAACGCGTCCAGAGTCCGCATGTTATCCAGATTGACCTCCCCCAAAGCAGCCACCCTTAACCGGCGCTCGCTTTTTGCTACATCTCGCAGGTAGTTGGTTTCAATCTGCCTCATTCGCGGGCCACGTGCACGTTCACTTCCGACTCCCAGAAAGTCAATCCATCCAAGTCCTCCACTAGAACTGACCTCTCTGCCACTTTGTTGGTTGTTCATCCCAAGAGATGTCTCCCGCCGCTCACAGGGAGGACCGCATATAGAAACGCCCACGAAAACTCCTCCAATGGCACCCCCAACCCCGGAATTACCGCCTAGAGTGGACCCCCTGACATTTTCCTCTTCTTCATAGATCCCATCAACGAGGACAAACATCCCTGGAGCGAGCCAAGCTCCATCTTCAGGCACCATCCGCGCGTGTCTAAGATCCAAGGAAATACTCCCCGTCAAATCGCTCAGTGTTAAGTCGCCCGTTGGGGACGTTGAGAGTAAACCTAGAATAAGGTGTGATGTGCCATTTCTCCCGAGTAAATTCGCGATTGGTGTGAGCTTGTAGCCTTGGGTAACCGCTAAAGAAGATGCTGGTTGCCGCAAGATACGCGAGGGACCGGACGGTGATTGGAATGACTCATGCCGAAGCAGACGTTGATGGATGACATTGTAACGATCTCTGAACAAATTCGTCCTGTGAGAGGATGGGGGGAATAGGGTAGGCCTTGATCTTGCGACTTCGAAGTATTTCTTATCCGCATTATAGGTCAATCGCGGTATATCAAACGCCTCAATAACTTTAACCCAATGTCTCGGGTGTGAGGGGACATCAGAAGTTTCTGTTGAACCTTCTCCTTCCAGCCCTGCCGCTGCATACATTGGCGGATCGGCCCTAGAGCGTCTGGTTCCTTGGCCGGGGCTTGTCGTTCTTGATGGGACCTCATCTGACGTGGCGTGCTTCCCAGAGACTACCCTTCCCCCACTCATATTGCTCTCTAAAGCCTGGAGGATGGCTTTCAGTGAGGCGCCCTTACCCTCATCGACAATGACACCACCGCCAGCTTTCTTCCAGGCTTTGGCCACTTCATCGAGTACTCTTTCTGCGAGACCTTCTTCGCGCCATGCCGAGCCACAATTCTTCCCCACGAAGGTGGCTAGTGTTTGAAGCGCAGAGGAGGATATCGTTAGGTTATGCTTGCGCGTGAAGGTACGGAAGGCCACAGGCCGCAGAGTCGAAGGAGGGAGCAGTATGGGAAGGACCGATGTCCTCGTAGGCAGCGCATTGGGTCTGTTCTTTCGGAATGGATAGGCGGGAGTTCCAAATCCGGGTGACGATGAAGGTACGGGGTCCGAGTCCATATTCAGATAGTAAATTGTGACTGCGACACTTGTACTGCAAATCCGCTCTTGGTCGAATGCGCGTCTAACTGCCGGATATCGTGCGGGGACAATGTCACGACTAGAAACCCGTAGAGTTCCTCAGAATAGGTGAAGAGGGAAAATTTCAAGGAAATGGAGAGGGCGAGGGAAGAACTGAGAACCGCTGTCAGTGCAAGGTGATCCTGCCAACGCTGGTTGACTGATTAACCATTACTACCTACCTGGACGAGCCATTGACGTATGGAGTAGATCAAGCAGAACGCGTCGGGGCGGTGGTGATGGCGGCACGCGCGTCCCCCACGCGATTTGTTCCACTTTTGCGACAACCTACAAGGCCATTATCCTTAATCTTCCTCAGTACTCATGCACTGATCATCGCACCAGACCTATTTTGACCAAAGGCACCATAAAATTCGCCAGAGTAGCCTCCTTTCGTTACACTCCCCTTTCCACCCCGATTATCATATTTCCCCCCGCCTACTGGAGAGATTTCCTTGTTGGGTTGGTTCTGGTTCATTCCTCGTCCATTATATTACCATCAACCACACACATCCATTATGGAACCAAGTACATCCCCGAAAGACGATAGTACAAAGACTCAAACAGCTTTGGACGACCTTATCAAGCAAGCTGCCGCCAAAGATGCCATCAAGGATTACAACGCCGCTGCAGAGCTATATTCTGAGGCCACAGAACTTCAAGCACAGCTCAATGGAGAACTAGCGCTGGAAAATGCAGATTTACTATTCGCCTACGGGAAAGCCCTCTATAATGTTGCCGTCAGCAAGAGCGATGTGCTTGGGTCCAAGGTAGCTGGAGAATCACAGCCGAGCAGCGCATCTGTCGAGAGGCCATCCGCTGCGGCAACAGCCACAACCGCAGGTATCGTTGAGAAAGCTGTCGCCCAGGGCCCACCTGAGAAGTCCGCGGGAGCCCAGAAGTCAAATACTGGTGATGTCCCAGCTAAGCCATACTTCCAATTCACTGGTGATGAGAACTTTGACGACTCGGATTCGGAAGACGAGGCCGACGGTGAGGAAGCTGCGGCCGATGACGAAGACGACTTTGCCAATGCCTTCGAAGTTCTTGACCTGGCGCGCGTGCTATACCACAAAAAGATGACTACGATAGAGGAGGGAATTGGCAAAGGGAAATCCGCAGATTTACCTCCAGATCTCAGACACGTCAAAGAACGTCTCGCGGATACGTACGATTTACAGGCGGAGATCTCACTGGAGGCAGAAAGGTTTATAGATGCGGTGACGGACTTGAGGACGTCTCTGGATTTAAGGCAGTCTCTGTTTCCGATTGAAGATCCTTCTGTTGCAGAATGTCACTACAAGCTTTCTCTTGCCCTAGAATTTGGCTCCGTCAAAAATGAGAACGACAGCTCCCAAGAGGACAGTACCCTCAAAGGGCCGGTCGACGAGGAAATGAGAGAAGAGGCCGCAGCTCAAATGGAAAAGGCTATTGAAAGCTGCCGTCTGAGGATGGATCAAGAACAGAAGAAGTTGGTCGACGATAATTCATTGGATGAGGACAAGGTGACCGCTATGAAGAGAAGAATAGCAAATGTCAAAGACATCATAGCAGACATGGAGCAAAGGGTAAGCAACAGCCTTCTTTCCAAATCCCTTCATCGCATACCCTTCCTACTTCCTTTGCTTCAGCTACAGTTACTAAGAACGTTGACAGCTCGTCGATCTTCGACGCCCGCCAGTATCTGCTACTGAGAATAGCGATGCAGATAACACAGTGCTGAAGGGTATTTTGGGTCAGATTATGGGGCATTCTCCTTCGGAGCAAAAGGCCCATCTCGATGCTGTCACAAAAGAAGCAAATGACCTTTCTGCGTTTGTCAAAAGAAAACCTGCGAGCAAGAAGCCACCCCAGAAGAGTGAGACTGTACCAAAACGATCGGCTCCGGAAGAGGGCGCGGGAGGCGATACAAAAAGAGCACGAGCAGGCGATAACCTTGAATGAACCTGGGTATACTGATCGCCAGAGGCATCAACGTGTCTGGTGCTCTGTCTATCAACCCTTTGTAGCAGCTAGAGATCACCTGAGGAAGTGATCTATCATGCTAGCATTTGCTCAAAGGTTTAGAGCGTTGATTAGGATATGATACCCAATGAAGCGAGGCCGCAGAAATAACTATACATTATACAGAAATAGCCACCAAGTTATCTGTGAATTCTATTGTGATACCACATATTATTATTACTGATTAAGGTAGCTCCCAACGAACCATAAGGGAGAAAAGGAGAAAATGAATCAAAGAATCAGAGCCGTCTGGTGCACAAAGCAAGGCGGTTTCATAGCAAACAACCCCACCTTGCTCCGTCTGAAACTGTGGGGCTGTTGGGTCATACTTCATTTCATCAAACATGGAGATTCTCATGAAGCTTCATTAGGCGCAAGAGCATAACTCATTATCATAGGGCTGTGATTCCGAATAGAGAAGACCGGCGTTCAGGTAGTTTGCGATTTCTTCGACGTACAGCCAACCCAGGGGTCCAGATTCCAGAGAATAAGTCCTCGCATTCATCTTCGTTCTGGCTATCAAATTCTATACTGTTCGAAGGTTGGTCATGTCCAACCTCGGTAGAGCTGGTATACGCCGGGAGTAATGCTGTTTCAACAAAGGCGGGCGATTCCCAAAAAGAAGATGTCATAACCCTTTCGGTCTCCAAAATGAACTTGCCGACCTTGTAACGTTGCGACTCTTCTTCAGCAGCGATATATTTCCAGCCGAGCACATTTCCGCAAATGGAACAGTTGATGTCGCCTACTGTGTGCGCACCAGTGACCAGTCTCCGCGGCAGGGGCTGCTGTATCATCGTATTTAGAAGTGTATCGGTTGGTGAAGGTCCTCTAGCGAGCGTAGGCTCGCCGGACACAAGATAGGCACGGCCATAGCGACCGGTGAATCCTTTGCTAATTATCTGCGACGTCAGGCATATATCTGCTGCACAGTGTGAACAGCGGATGCATGAGACATGGCCCTCCAGATAACCGGCGTCACTTGGCTTCAGAAATCGTCCGGATCCTTCTTCCGAAGTTGGCACTCTGGACCTCACGCTTCGCTGTTTGGTTCGGAAGAAAGATGGCTGGAGCAAGAATTTAGGAAACATAAAGCCTTGGATATAGGATCTTTGCCCTGTGAAGTACTTGATTAGGGGGGCATGCGTAGCAACCAAACGGCGAGAGCATCAAAGAATGCTGCTAGTTTTTATCATAACTCTAGTATCTCTAGCATAGAAGAGGCAGTTGTTACAGTGAGGTTATATGGAAATGGGTAGGTATCATACTGAGGTCATCACCCGTTCCTTGGCGATCTAGCTATCGGAACGAGTCATGACATGGTCATCTGACACAATATAGTTATGGATCCCGGCTGATGTGCTAACTACAAATGTGAGGCCATTTTCGGCCTGACTAGGGAATGGAAGCATAACCCAAAATCAATACATATATAAGGATTACTCATGTCATTTGGCCTTTGCTCCTTGTTAGAATAAGTGAACTAGCTGTTTGGTTGCCTACAACTAAACCTCCGCATCCAAGAAAAGCCATTTAGTGCTAAGCGAGCGTTCGACGTCTCTTGCACCACTCCACGGTTGCAAAGTAGTCAAACTGAATCCGCACCAACCGAGGTTCCGTACAGCTTCTAGTTCAACTGCATCGTGCGAACGGGGTACACATGCCACAATTCGGGGGCACCCAAAAGCAGATATATTAGCAAGTTCAAACAGGGCAATTAACCTTATCGGGAACAAACACGACAGTATGTTAGTAATATCCACGGGTTTATACCTCGTCTACATTTCGACGAGAACATGGGTGCACATACCCTGTTTTCAGACCGTGACCGAGTGCGTTCTCTGCAAGGAAAACAAACAAGGTCGGTTCGCCGCTCGTATTGGTTACAAAACCACGGTGTATAGTGTCGCTGGTGTAATCCAACAGCTCAAACCACTGTTCAATCGGCATACTATTGTTCGGCCGGCTTTGAGACGCACCTACCCCAAGTGACTCTTGTCCAGCGAAGCTCCTCTCACCAAGGAAGATCGCAGACAATGTGTCACAGAAGAGCCTCTCACACTCTTCCGGGATAGTATGCATTGCCTCCCCTTTATATTCCGGTAATATATTGCCCGGCCAACTAACCCCCATGCTTGGAGCGATGGAGAGTCCAAAGGGAGGACTTGGAGATGTCTTTGACCCCGAAGGGACCTCAGGGATACCACTGTGTCCCTAATAAGATGATCAGAAGTTAGCAGGTAGTTATGAAGTTTAGACCATAACGATCGATTGCGGAAAGGGGCATCGTACCGGCCCCCGCGGTAGTGCAGTAGTGGAAACTATCGACCACGGAAGTGAATGATTTGACGCTGTAACAACTGGCAAGCACGCTAGCCTGGGGATGTTTGTCGAGTGTACACTGCAACTGATTTCGGGTGCTACTGTTGTGATTCGATGACTTGGCCATGATGATGGATCTTATAAGTTGAAGATTAGATGTGCTATCTTTCGGGACACTGGCTAGGTATCTTGTAATAACCTTCTGACAGCCGCGATAATGTTAGGATGCAATGACAACCGATGCGGAAAGGTGGTGCAGGTGTACTAGAGGTTGGATGGTAATTAAGTAGGGATGGGACAAACTGGGGTGGTCTCCCGTGGATTGCTGGGACCAGTTACTACGGAGTACTAAAATGACATGTGGGGCTCCATTAGTCAGGCCGGAACATAACTTAACTAGTTATTGCGTGCCCTGTAGTTATCTATAGCTTTTTTAGTTAACCAACTAACTAGTTGAGTTTACTCTTGTCATCTGATCAGATGCCCAATGCTGTTTGTAGAGACGTAAGTTTACATAGGAAATTACATGTGAGAGGTGGTCTATGTGGAACCTCGCAGGATTCTCAGGTGGTTATGCATGTAGATAACGGCGGATACCTTTGCCCACAGACAATCATATACACATGAGTATCTGATAGGCCCCCTAAACATCGTAATGTATCGAAATTTACATGTCATTCTAATTAAGCTCTGGTCTTGATGGATGTTATATCTTGATTTCACGAAGGCAATTCCCATATGTGGATACCCAATGGCGGAGCGGCTTTGATCTCAGACCGACCTCATGAAGATTACTACTATCTACGACCACTTTGCCACTAATAAACGCATCGGTAGTCGCTAGACTTTTTATTTGGCAAGTTGCTTAATGTGGCGCTAATATTACATTGTGTACATTCAATTGCACCTTCAAATAACAAGCCCATTAGAGCCGGAACCATCTCCCTTTCAACTCCAACAATGTGCAAATTTCAAAGGGGCAAAGCCTGCAACATGCACATGCCCACATGACAATGAATCAAGAAGCAGCTATGAACGCCGATGAACATAAAAAGAATATAGAGTGACGGGGTGAACAGCAAGACATATCGGAAAAAGGGAGACCTGAGACCTAACAACCGCGGACACGTCGAAGTGACTTTTCTCTACCACTTCAAAGCTCTCGATAGTCACTTGGTCGTATCCTCCTGTGTCTCGCTTGGTGCCGTTGTGGATTAACAGGTTGCCGAAAATAAGCCGTATCTTCTTCCCTGGCAAATGGTGTACTAAACGTTGTTCTCTGCTGGTTTGAAAATCGACCTATTCCGGGACCTTGCGCAAGACCAGGATTCGGTTGAAGTCCCATCATTTGAGGCATGTGGAACATGTTCATAGATGGCTCTCCGACGCCGTTGTAAAGGTTCGGTGTGGCATAATTGTTCACATTGTCGCCATAGATTCCTGGGGCAGGGCTAAAATTCATAGCATTCATGGGATTCCACGATTGATCCATGTTAGGTGGGAAACCACCAGACGAAGGAACACCCATAGAGTTCATAGGATCAGACAATGGTATCGTAGGCATCCCCTGGTTCGGCATGAATCCAAAATTCCCGAACGGCATCTGCTGGCCGAATGGGAAAGCTGGAAAACCGGCCACAGGCCCAGTAGCCTGTGTATTTTGTGAATTGGCCTTGTCGTTTGTCTTCAGCTTTTTGGACAACGAACTAGGACTTGATCCACCAGTGGCAGTACGGGAAGGTTCATCTTCAGCAGGTCTTTTGTTCGAAGCTGGTTGACTAGGCGGAATTGGTGGCGAAGACTCCGTATTTGCAACAGGCCCTTTGCCTTGCATGGCTGATTTGTCAATACCGGGACCATTGTCATTTGCCTGTTGCTTGTCCTTCTCTTTCTTCGAATCCGCTTTTTCAGCTTCGTACTCTTTGATCTTGCTGATAGCCTCATCATCAACAGTAAGATTATCGAGTAATACTCCCTCCGTTCCACAGCCAGGGCATACAAAATCGCTCTCGATCAATGCATTGGTAATACAATCATTGCAGTATGTCCTTTGACAGCACGGAGTTCTAGTGGGCTCTAAAAACATTCGCTTGTCAATCGGACACTCTAAACCACGTGCTTGCAGTTCTTTGCTGTACTCTGCTGCTGCTGCTTCTGCTGCGGCTGCTGCGGAGGCTTTGGCTTTCTCCTGGTATAATTCCCAGGCTGCCTTGTCAGGCTTCGCTATGACGAAATCGCCGTCGGCATTAACCATGACACCTGTGTTCCTCGGATCCTCGTTTGAGCCGTCCAGGGTGAGGGATTCCGGCTTTTCGACCTTGGTTTGTAATGAACGGGGTATACCAGTTGATCGTTTTACTCTATACTTCCCATCAAATTTGGGGTCATTATTTGTGGGGCAAGCTTGGATCCAGTGTCCTGATAATACACCGTTAGTTTTAGCTTTCAATGATTACATTAGAACAGCTTGCCTTTCTCACGACAGCGGTAACATAAGTAGCCGGGGGGAGGGGGGTGATCAGGAACATTCACAGGTCTACCCCTTCCACGGCCGAATGGAACAGGGGTAGCGCTATACGGGAGACGAATTGTCAGTACCAGTAGAGGAGAAAAAAAGAATATAAGTCTTACTACATATAGACACACTTACTTTGCCATTTCCTGCTGCTGTTCTTTCCATTGATTTGCTTGCAAATTGAACAGTGCATTGATCTTCTCTTCCTCCGTCTGGGCATTGTTGAGCTCTAGAACACCGTTGCTAGTATTGGGAGATGCTCGAGTCAAGGGAAATTGTTCATTACGGGGGGCACTGCGCGCATTGACTGGCATTTTCCCGGAAACATAACGAGCAGCACCACCCTTCCCTGGGCGTGATGCAGGCAATCTCCGAGCAATGACGGACGTAGAACGCGGTATTATGCTGGTGTCATCGTCGTATTCTGTCCCATAAAAACAAACGGTCAGTCCCCAAGAATTTTTTCTCTTAACTTCAACCACAACCTGTTCCCGCTTTGCCATACGGGTTGGGCGGACCAAGGTGGATATGAACGGTAAAACCAAGGCAATCAGTTTCCAGAAGCTACTAACCTTCTTTAGTATCTTCATTGTAGATAGACAGCTCAAAGTCAGTCCCGTCACCCAGTCTACTCTGATTGATAATTTCTCTTTTCAATTCGAAGACAGAGATACCGGTGCCATCAAAAGTCACCCTTGAAGGCTCCTTTTGAGACTTGAACTTGAAGTGAACAGAGGATGACATTGTATTCAATTGCACGTCAATGATGGTGTTGCGAATGTAATTAGATCAATAGAGGGGTGCCACTTTCACAAGAGATACACGAGAACAAAGGCAGACAAATGATAACAAGCAACAATCGGAACGGTTGGCAAATTGCAGATGACAGTATGACGTATAGCCTCACTCCTGTCTCAAATGCTTAGAGATCGTAAACCCAGTATCTATCGAGGGCTTTGCTCGAACTCAGTAGATTGAAGAAGCGTCTTGAGTGCTGCGCGGCAAGTGTTCGAATCACTGCATACAAACAAGGTGTAAAGTCCGGTGGATACAGAGACGAAGCCAACTAGTCTGCAGTAAGATAATGTGAGTTATAAAAAGCTCCGCGGGCCTTGCCAGTATAACAAGCAGCATCAGACGCCGCAACCCATCTAATTCGCGCTTGCGACCGAGCTCAAGAGATATGATATGAGTTCATGTAATCTTCGTTGAGAACAGCCTTGGGGCACTTCCACAAGCTTTGGGCGATCAAGGCATGGAATAGTATATACGACCAAAGTGGACGAGACTTGGGGAAGCAAAGACGCAGCGAAGGTAAGAGGGCGTTTGAAAGAGAGATATGCGTGCAGGTTTGGGTGCGGGAGACAACGGCGTCACAGTTGAATTGACCAGTATAAATTCAAGGAGAAAGAGCCATTTATGATGAGAGAAAGCAACTGGGTGGAAACAAGGCAATCTTAAACAATCAGTGCATTCTCCAGGACATGTGCAAGGGTATGATCAAAGCCTGGAGAGCGATTCGGGAACAGTCTTCGTGGTGGCGAGCTAGCGCATTCGGTCACGTGACTTTGCGCCAGATGTGGAAAGAGTAGGTTGATGCTTATCTCTGTAGAGATAGTTTGACTTTCCTAAATCATAGTACTGATATAATCTTCTGGTACGTGCTTTTTGATGGTCAGGTAGTAAACTGAACATATGTATTGCAAACATCCTAAAGGGCGATAGCTGTATGAAGCACCGTTGCCGAACGGAAATGCGCTAAAAGTATAAGGGCCAGCAATGTAGATAAGTACTTAAGTTAGCATTTACCTTTCCTTTTTAGTAGAAAAACTTGGCATTCCGCGTATAGATAGATAACTAGGTGCCAGAATCAACCACGGCTTACTACACAACTTAATACGTACTGAATACCACAGGAACCTCGTATTAAATAGAGTTCCGAGGGAAAGTGTGCGCTTTCTTCATTGAATCCAGCCTGCCATGCATCAAAATTATGAAGTTGTTTAAAAGAGTGAATACAGTAACTACCGGGTAACCATTAATTTGGGTAAATAACAAGAGCTCTACGGAGGTGCATAGCAAAGGCCTGAATGAAATCATTACTGGCCAGAAATTACAGTTTTCCCATGTCTTGGAGCAATTTATGCCAGTTGGCCTACTTGAGCCGCTACTGTTTCAAGCTTGCTTTCGTATGGCCCGCAGTTTGCTCAAAATCATTGAGCGAAAGTGGGGGGGAGGTGAGCGGGTAATTATCTATGTGTGTATCAATCCGTTAATAAGTTACATGTTCCTGGCACTCCGTACCTGGTGCCTAGATGTACATGTGAAAAATTCCCTACTTATTCAATTCGCCCAGCTTAATCCGACCTCTGCATGCCCTCCTGTCCAACCCAGGATCCAGCTCCTATTCCCCAAACTCGGGGACGCGCGCTTATCCATTCTTCCTGCCTTTGACCTTTACACTGGCTTTACCAAGCAGGTAATCATGTTGATAGGCCTATGCGGAGGTTAGCATCTTATCAAGCAGCGTGTCTTGGTGTCTTCAATATATGCTAATACTATGCGGCAAAGCCATATGTTCTGGGAAGCATGCTGTCGCAGATTATCTGATACAGAAGGAGGGCTTTCGACTTCTCAAATTGAAAGATGTCAGCTCCCTTCGAGTAACTGATGAAGCCGACGGCGATCGCCAATTACAGGCACTGGAGTCTGCAGAGGATGAAAGTAGTCCGCCACCGCACCTTATATTTGAGGACTCTAAAGCCCTCTTAGACTTCGTAACCAAACGATGGCAAGAACATTGGGTTACAACAGACATCTGGGATGTCACTATCTTAGACCGTTTCTTTCAACGCCCCTTCTTCCTTCTAGTTAGCGTTGATGCGCCGGTGAGCTTGAGATGGAAGCGATTTGTGGACAGGTCTGGATCCCTGATAACCTTACGAGCATCGTAGCTAAGCTAACGCACCATCTGTAGATGCCGGGATAGACTGGTCGAACCACCGCCTTTGGAAAAATTTGTATTATGGAATGACAGACATCTCTACGACAAAAATGTTGGACGCGCATACCTCACTGATCGGGCACAAGTACGGCTGTTCAATTCCTCTTCTTCATTTGATGAACTGCATGCGGCTCTCAGAGCCCTCAATCTTGCCGACGAGGAGCGGTTACGGCCTAATTGGGATCAGTATTTCATGGAGCTGGCATCTTTAGCCGCTCAGCGAAGTAACTGCATGAAGCGAAGGGTGGGCTGCGTGCTTGTCCGTGATCGTCGTGTCATAAGCACAGGGTATAATGGAACCCCCAGGCACATTAGAAATTGCAACGAGGGCGGCTGTACGAAACCTAAAGATTACACATTGTACTACTGATTGAATGTACAGGCACTTACTATGACTAGGTCCAAGGTGCAACCGTGGTGAGGGTGGAGGTGTGGGTTTATCAACATGCCTCTGCCTCCATGCCGAAGAGAATGCGTTGTTAGAGGCCGGAAGAGAGCGCATACGAGAGGGTGCAATACTCTATTGTGACACGTACGTCAATCCCCGAACCTCTGAAGATGCACGGCACATTGCTTAAGCCGGTTAGGTGCCCTTGCTTGACATGTACCGTCAAAATTACACAAGTTGGGATAACAGAAGTCGTATACTCGCAAGGGTATAATATGGATAACGATGTATGTCCTTTGCTGTCCACACTTTGTCATTTTGCTGACCAAATAAGAGCGCTGCTATTCTAAAAGCGGCCGGGGTAAAACTTAGGCAATTCTCTCCGGTACGGGCACTCCCTTGGCACTTCACCAGTCATCGCTAATATATTGTTGGCAGCCTCGAAAGGGGCTCATTTATCTTGAGAGCTTTGGGGGTACTAACTAGGTTTGTGCGGCCCTGATATGGGTGTCACTCGGCCGAATAGATTCGAGTTTAATCTTGATTATCTCTCCAAATTGCATAATCCTAAGTCATGGAACTTAACAAGTCTGGAGATGAGCCGATTATGAGTGTATTGGAATTCATATTTCAGACTCAGTCCCGCTTTAGCACATGTCCACCTGCAGTACTAAGGCGCTATGCAGTGAATACATGTATATTGCCGGCTATATCTGCGGCCGGCTCCGATGGAGTTCAGGTATCGCCGTTACTCCCAGCGACGCGATAGCGGAGATGTTTGGGTTTAACATACAGTCATCCTCCGGTTGTTTGTTTACGTACTGTGCTCCGTAGTCACCTGGTATAACACGAAAAACCCTACGATGCTCCTGTTCGGTGCATGTCGTAGTAGAACGAGGAAATATTATAAGTAAACTGGCGGCTGCTCAGAGGCCAAGGCGCCAATTGGGCTTAGGAGTAAGTAACCACTAGTATGTGTTTATAGGTACTACGGAAACATACAGCGCGGGGAGGAGGGGTACTATAGACTAAATGGTAATTAAGGCCTTCTTTCAATGCTCATAGCAAAGGCGGTCAACGTTCATCAGGTCCCACCCTCCGATTTACCGGCAATAATGTATTAATCGGTACCGAAAACCGAACATGCGAATAGGGTTTAGGGAGTGAAAGAGAAGTGAACTAGGGATTAGAGGTAAAACTACAAACTCTTTGAGAGGGGCATATATGGGCAAGAAAGTCATAAGAAAGAAGGAAGAGCAAGATAGAGGATAGGAGGAATGAACGTACACATGGTACTAGTGGAGATCAAGATTACAATTGGAGACATACTTACCTACTGGATTAACGTAACTCAAAGTGGGTTGTTGCGAATGACTCAGCCCGGCATCGCCAGCCATGGTGGGGTGAAGAAGAACAATCTTCCCAAGTCAAATTGCGACTTCTCCTATTGTCAAGGCAATTATTTTGAAGACCTACTGCTGGGTGTGGCCGCAGGAAGATTGGCCTTCAAATCAGCGAAGACCTATACTTATGCTCATCGTTTCCAGACATACTTACACAAGACATTGATAGAACGCATGCCACGATGCCTACAGTACATCTGCTAGATTACGTCGCCGGAAATGTCCGCTCCCTGGTCAATGCGATCAACAAAGTCGGCTACGAGGTGGAATGGATTAAGTCTCCAAGTGATTTGAAGAATGCGGAGGTAACCAGGATGATGTTACATTTTTTTTTCTAGTGTAGCGCTGACTATTTGGCAGAAACTCATCCTACCAGGTGTCGGTCATTTCGGCCATTGCTTATCTCAACTTTCAGAGGGAGGCTTCTTGGATCCTATCAGGCAACACATAGCTTCTGGAAAGCCATTCATGGGGATTTGCGTTGGTCTGCAATCACTTTTTGAAGGTTCTGAGGAGGACTCCGATGTTCCGGGGCTGGGATTGATTCCGATGCGGATGCAGAAATTCAATCCCGACACTAAGAGTGTACCACACATAGGCTGGAACTCTGCTATAGACACCAAGCTTGAGTCTGCGGAGAATCGGAGCTTCTACGGATTAAGCCCAAACAGCAAATACTACTATGTCCACTCTTACGCAGCTCTTTACACCCCAGGGCTCCTTGAGAAGGACGGCTGGTCAGTCGCCACAGCTACTTACGGCGAAGAAGAGTTTATCGGTGCTATTGCGCGAGAGAATATTTTCGCGACTCAATTTCACCCGGAGAAAAGTGGCCAGGCTGGATTACGGACTATTAGCGCCTTCCTAAATGGTGATCGCTTCCAAACACTTACCCCGCAAGCGTCGCTCTCCTTGGACAAGAAAGATGGGCTGACACGTAGAATCATTGCCTGTCTTGATGTGCGCACCAATGATTCTGGTGACCTCGTCGTCACGAAAGGAGATCAGTATGATGTCCGTGAAAAGGATGGGGTGGATACAGGAGGCCAAGTCAGAAACTTGGGGAAGCCCGTGGACATGGCCAAGAAGTACTACGAGCAAGGAGCTGATGAGGTCACGTTCTTAAACATCACTTCCTTCAGGAATTGTCCTGTTGCAGATGCTCCCATGCTGGAAATCCTCAGGAGGACTTCAGAAACTGTTTTCGTGCCGCTGACTATCGGGGGCGGTATCAAGGACACTATTGATACAGATGGCACTCACGTCTCAGCTCTTGATGTTGCGACGATGTATTTCAAATCCGGTGCTGATAAAGTCAGCATTGGTTCGGATGCTGTTATCGCAGCAGAGGAATATTATGAAGGAGGCGAAAAGCTGACAGGCAAGACGGCTATAGAATCTATATCCAAAGCATATGGTAACCAGGCTGTGGTCGTGAGTGTGGATCCTAAACGTGTCTATGTGGACGGCCCAGAAGATACCAACCATCATACAATCCGGACAAAGTACCCAAATGCCGCCGGTCAGGCATTTTGCTGGTACCAGTGTACCATTAAAGGTGGCAGAGAGTCGCGAGACCTCGACGTCCGACAACTAGCGAAGGCGGTCGAAGCAATGGGTGCCGGTGAACTTTTGCTAAATTGCATCGACAAGGACGGAAGCAACAGCGGATTTGATCTGGAATTGATCAATGACGTGAAAGCCGCTATTAAGATACCAGTAATCGCCTCCAGTGGTGCTGGAAAACCCGAACATTTTGCAGAAGTCTTCCAAAATACTACGACTGATGCTGCCCTAGGCGCTGGCATGGTAAGTAGTAGTATTTCGTTCAACCCTTACGAGAACCCGTCCTGTCCTGGTGACTGATCTTTTATCCACCCTTTTACAGTTCCACCGAGGTGAATATACTGTCAGCGATGTTAAACGTCACTTGGACAATGGAGGATTCCTTGTCCGCAGGCCTGAAGTGGGCAACTAGAGTTATGCTTCTAACTCATCATGAAACTTTTGATCACATCAATATTCTTGGAGCACGAGACAGTCTGCAAGTTACATAAGCACGCTCCTTTTTCTAAAAAACTGACATACTCGGTTTACCGAAAGGACCCTGCGTCTGACGGAAGACTTACTCTATCCGAATACTGAACTCTCCGCTTAACTGACTTTACCTGCATATGTACACGGCACCTACGGGTGGGTGAATATACTATTTTTTGAATCTGCTATCTCGCTTGGCTAGCATGTGTGTTTTGCGAATGTCTTTACACCAACAGAGGAGGGTAGGCGTTCATAGTGGGAAGTTTGCGGCCTTGCGTCACAAGGCTCACATCCGCTAGTCCTCATACGGATCTCTGTAAATATGCATTTATCCTTCCACATCTTATCTGTGAGACCTCTATAAAGAAAGTGAATTTGTTTAAATAAGGCCAGTGGTCAGGAACGTCCATGGGGCACCTGATGACGTAGTTAGCGAAAGTCCGGGATGTCTCGATTTTCGAGTAATGTCACAAAAGCGAGTATTTCATATGAAGTCTACACGTGGTCACTATGATATTGTCTTGGGGAATTTTGTAGAAACCACTGCCAGTGGTGTTTTGCATGCCAATATACTTCTGATGTGAGACAGGGTTGATACCATTGAGGTTCCTGCAGCAAAATATAGTAGAACCACTGCGTAGCGACACATGTATATTACGATGTAGTACTAAGGAACACTGTATCATGTACCTTACTACACAAGTAATAAGTTCTTGGTAGCTTTTAAGGTAGCGGAGCGCAAGCCCCCAAAATCAAATACAACAGGCCGTACCAAGGCTAGAACGTACGTATCTTAATCCCAAGGGTGGGGTAGCTAACAAAGTTACTAATGACTATACCCTGTGACTTCTTGCCCCACCACAGATAAATAGATCACCCCCTCTTCCCCAGCAGACACGCTTAGGTCCCCTCACCCCTACAATATTTCGAGTATATAGCGAAAGCACTGTAATTGTGCGGACGCTGTTTTGAGACCGCCACACTCTTAAGATCAGTTCACGCACCGTGGAATATGGTCCTACTTACATAGCTCCTCTATTCTCGAGGAACGCAACAACGTCATACCCTACTTTAAAAGGAGATGAGCTCAACAATGCGCTACACTCCGTTCGCTTCCGATATAGAGTTCCCATTCTATACGGCTTTATCCTCACTTAAGATTAATCACGACAAGCTTGACGATGCTGCCCGTAAAGTGCTAGGTCTCTATGAGGTTCGATCTACAGACCTCCCTAATGCCTCCTGTCGAATGCAGATACATGGGAATGCCCTGACAACAGACGAGTGAGTTATGATCTACTACGGGTCTGGGTGTTTACGATCAATAATATATATTGACAAGCCGCCTGGCTACCAGAACACCGGTTGGGTTTTATCGAGCTGAAGGATTGATCAAGAATGTCAATACACTTGAGGAGTATACAAACATCGACAAGGCACATATTCTCCAGCAGTCCGCGAAAACGGTTAGGCACGCACTTATGAATCAACCAGGATCATACTGACTTGTAGACATACTAGGTCTGGGATGCCATATGCGATGGCACTATTTATTCGTGCCCCTCTTTGCTTGCGTCATTCTTCATTTTGTCGTACGCGGATCTAAAGAAATACAAATTTCACTATTGGTTCGCATTCCCGGCACTGCACTCGAGCCCTTCCTGGGCTCTTCTTGAGAGGACCGAGGAAAATGTCAACTCCTGTCAAACTAGAGGAGCGGTGTCACCGGCTGGGGATCTAGAAGATGCTGAATTATCAAATCTCGTGGAGACGGTCAAGACGTGGAGCTACAGTGCAGAAGACCGCCAGCGAGGGTTTTTCTTGGCTAGGAGACTTCATGGTGCCAGAAATGGAACAATGTTCGAAAGCAACTCAGAAGTTACCGACGGGTTTACGGAATCAACAAATCACGATGGCCCACGGTGGAGGATTGCTCCTCTCCTAGCCTACGAGGATGGCTTTTTCAGAGATGCGAGATTTGAAGACTGCTTCGTCTGTTTCGCTGATCCTTCAAACTATGAGGATGCACCCGGATGGATGCTGAGAAACCTTCTGGTACTTGTAAAACGACGGTGGGGACTCAATAAGATCCAGGTACTGAGATACCGTGACATGCAGCCGCACCCCAGCCGCGGTCATTACAAAAGCACAGTGTTGACTCTGCAATCGGATGACATGCAAGCAGCGGCTACTGCAGAGTCGCAAAGTTCGACCAAAGACATGCCGAAGGTGACCGGCTGGGAGCGTAATCCAGCCGGTAAATTGACAGGTCGCTTCGTCGACCTCACAGAGTACTTGGATCCTAAGAGGTAGGACACCATCTTTTTTTTTGTTGAGACTCTTGTATCATATACTGATACAATCCTCAGACTAGCCGACCAGTCGGTCGATCTAAATCTGAAACTCATGAAATGGCGTATCAGCCCTAATCTTGACCTTGATAAGATCAAGCGCACCAAGTGCCTCCTATTGGGGGCAGGAACCCTCGGGAGCTATGTTGCGAGGAATTTGATGGTATGGAAACCGCAGGAGATCTGAGTCTATGTATCGGCATCTGACAATGAGAATAGGGCTGGGGGGTGGCTAAAATCACCTTCGTGGATAATGGGTCCGTATCGTTCTCTAACCCTGTGAGGCAACCACTTTACAATTTTGTCGATTGTATAGACGGCGGGGTGAAGAAGGCTCTTCGAGCGTCTCAGGCCCTGTTGGAGATTTACCCGGGAGTCAACTCTACGGGCCATGTCCTCTCTGTACCCATGGTTGGACATCCTGTCATTGATGCTGAAAAGTCTCGGGCGGAGTTTGATGTACTCCAGAGACTTGTTGAAGAGCATGATGTCATTTTTCTCCTAATGGATACGCGCGAAGCACGCTGGCTGCCAACTGTCATGGGGAAGGCGGCTGGCAAGATAGTTATGAATGCGGCCCTCGGTTTCGATTCGTATGTGGTCATGCGGCATGGGATTAAAGCAATTACAGAGCCATCAGCAGAACTCGGGTGCTACTTTTGCAACGATGTCGTTGCACCGATGAACGTAAGTAAAGCCACTCCAGCCTATAGATCACTATGCTAAGAGTTGGAAAGTCTGTCAAAGATCAAACACTTGATCAGCAGTGCACCGTTACTCGGCCTGGTGTGGCGGCTATAGCTTCGGCTTTGCTGGTAGAGTTGCTTGTTTCCCTTCTTCAACATCCCCTGGGTGCAGCAGCACCGGCCCCGACCTCGCGCAGTGATGATCGAGGAGACCATCCACTGGGGCTCGTGCCACATCAAGTCAGGGGATTCCTTGCGACATTTGAAAATATTCCAGTCACAGGCAGAAGCTACAAACACTGCAGCGCTTGTTCAGATAACATCACCCGCGCTTATAAAGAGGACGGTTGGGATTTCGTCCTAAGGGCCTTGAATGAGCCTGGATACGTTGAAGAACTGAGCGGTCTTAAGGAGGTTCGTTAGTCTATTATCGTCATTGCGCCTTCCTTTTTCCCTTGTTCTATGTTATGCGATCTCTAGCCACCTCCAAATTTCCCTGTTTTTTTTTTCGGATTCAAGAAATTTACTGACATTATCCCAAGGTGCATGCTACAGCAGAGGCTTCACTTGCTGATGTAGAATGGGATGAGGACTCCGAATCAGCAGAGGAGATATAATTGAGCCCGGCTTGATGCTAAGGAGGGGGGGCATGTTAGTTTGCAAATGCAATGAGTTTTCAGCAACTCATCATACCATGTTTTATCAATTGCCGCAGGATCCCTTATTCAGGGTACTATTTTCGACTGAGACCAATGAAAAAAGATTCTTTGGATTCCTGTGCAGATGTTCAGAACCCTGAAGACCTGTTTATTGCTGTGTTTGACGAGGCGAGTGAATGCTTACATTGCGCGACGATTCCGGTTTAAGGCGATGGACTTTCCGAAATAGTTCCCTGAGCTGTTCCTCTAGCGCCTTATCTTCGGCTCCTTGGTAGAATTTGCAGACGAAATGCCCTCCCGTGCGGAGAACTTCTTGGCTGAACTGCAAAGCTGCGTGGCAAAGATCCTATCATCCATCAGCTGAGGGAAACCATCGAAGCATAGGGCAAGCTCAGCAACTTACCATACTACCTGCATGGTCTTTGAAACTAATGCCGCTTGTGTTCATCATCCTGTTATACGGATCACTTAGACTTCTTTTCCCAAACCCTGTTGTTTGGAACCAGGGAGCGGACATATCGCTTAGAACAACATCTACCGAGTATTTGCAATCCCATTGCTTGGGATCGGTTTGCTTATCAGAGCTCGCGTTCTCCCCCGATTTGAGCTGCGTGTCATCGTAATCGGCATCCAAGATCGTACTTGGAGGGTATGGCCTACCCCTATTGGCGTCGCGCACAAATTCTCGAACATAGGCCTGGATATTCGGGTCGAGGAAGTTGCCTTGAATCGTAGATACTCCTTTAGGAGGCTGGGCCGGGATAATGTCAACGCCGAGGACGCGGCCGTGTGGTTGCGTTCTAGCTACTGCTACCTGGTGTGGTGTTAGCCAAGGTGCAATTGGTTTAGTCTTCACTCTGCACCTAACGCACTTGGGACCAGGAGCCAGGAGCATAACCCTAAATTGGATGGATCATACTGTCAATCAACAGGCCCGAGTTGAGGCATCTTGATTGTGGCTATCATACTAAATCAACAACCGTTTGTCCGCTCTCAAATATGTGGTATTTCTCGTCTATCTATTCAAAGAAATTATCAGGATGTATAGGATGGCGGGTCATGTTGGTTGAGTACTTGAAGGAGCTTGAAAGCCGCGCGGCTTTTCAGGCCCTGCACTGCAGCTTCCCTTGTGAAACGGTCCTTGAGCTGACGGGCTTGCCATCGTTTTGAGGATGAAAATCGCTTCAGGATCTGAGAACTAAGTAGGCCAATGCCCTGTGTTGCAGGCGAACACTTCACAGATGGAACGAGTAGCATGGTTGCAACATTGGCAAACTTGGATGGAATAAAAATGAGTGACGTGCGGAAGGATGCCGGAGCGCTCCCGCGGAAGTGGTAGAGTGAGCGGGACTCGGTGTTACTGCCATTCATCATCGATAGTGGCTGGCACAGTACCACAAATCAGTGACTATTATTCAGTGACCATAGGATGTTCTAACTAGTCATCTACTGTATTGCTGAGACAAATATCCTTGACGTATAGACCTTCATCCACTCTTGTGGCATACTAAACCATCTACAACACTACTATCGGGTAATAATGTTGTATTGGCGCCCTACTTGGTTGTTGAGGAATAGGATGATTATAGATAGATCGGCTTTTGCTCTCAATTCGACTTCCAGTAGATTAAAGAACAGCGAACAGCGAACAGCGACTTTGTTCCACCCGACCGAGCGGCAATATGGATCTAAATAGTTGTCTCCTGCTTTACTCCGTACAGTAGTAGCTGTACTTACCTACTTTGTAGCTACCGTCTAAGGAGTAAGAAGTATGGAGTACCCGCATAGCGACCCGCTCAGCGGTACGCGTTGTGGACACCTATCATCCTAGGCTTCTCGGATATGTAGTGCTCCGCTGCCTATCCATCCATGAACTGTCTACGTACATGGCCAATTTCTTCGCGGATTGCTGATCCGCCTCCTTTTCACCGCACGAACTGAAGATTATATTGTCATGCCAAAATGAAGCTCTTCAACCTTCTTGTGTCTTTTCTCTGCATGGTCACTTCCGCTTCTTGCGGCGCCGCAGACACAGACAAATTTGAGAGATATCGTTCACTCTCTCGCTCCGCTCCAATCGAACTGACCGACTCGTCGTACGAAGACATAACATCTAAGCCTCGCGACTATCATGTTGCAGTGCTTTTGACAGCCGCAGATGCTCGCTATGGGTGTATCCTTTGTCGCGAGTTTCAACCTGAATGGGAGCTCATAGCACGAAGCTGGAACAAAGGTTCCAAGCCCGATGGACTTCAAATGCTCTTTGGGACCCTTGACTTTTCCGATGGAAAAGGCACCTTTCAGAAGGTTGTTAGCAAATATATGGCCTAGCAGTTTAATAATCTTAGCTGACATTGAGTAGTTGATGCTCCAAACTGCGCCTGTCCTCCTGGTCTTTCCTCCTACCGTTGGCCCTTTCTCCAAGATTGATGACGCACCTCTGCGATTCGACTTCAGCGGGTAACTATACACAGAATCTTTTAGTCGATTGATTATCACTGACTTCGACCTACAGCCCGATTTCTGCTGAACAGCTATATACATGGATGAACCGTCAGCTTCCAGAGGGCCCGAAGCCGCCACTTGTTCGTCCGATCAACTACATGCGACTTGTCTCCGGCATAACCATTTTGATGGGTGCTGTGACGCTTTTCACGGTTTTGTCACCCTATGTTCTTCCCATTGTTCGCAACCGGAACTTGTGGGCTGCTTTCAGCCTGATTGCCATCCTCTTATTCACAAGTGGCCACATGTTCAATCATATTCGCAAAGTTCCATATGTTGCCGGAGACGGTAGAGGGGGTATTAGTTACTTCGCTGGTGGATTTTCAAACCAGTTCGGCATGGAGACGCAGATTGTTGCTGCCATTTGTATGTTGCCCACAATCACATGCATACATCTCATCTCATATGTGGATCTGATGCCAATTCGCTAATCGTGTTGTCAGATGCCGTCCTGTCTTTTGCAACAATTGCCCTGGCAATGAAGGTGCCCCGTATCGCAGACAACAAGGCACAGCAGGTAGCTGTGATCATCTGGGGTTCCCTACTTCTTGGTATGTACAGCTTCCTTCTGAGTGTGTTCAAGACGAAGAATGGAGGATACCCGTTTTTCCTTCCGCCATTCTAAAGGATTTCCGATGTATAATATCAACATGAGCTTTCCATCCGACCAGGTGTGAGCACATTTGCTGCGGGTTAGCGGTTATTCTCGGGTAGTAGCTGTGTACTACTTTTTGAACTGCTTTTCTTCGTCCAGCTCCTCCGTTATCGTGTATTTACTATATAGTACATGGCGGAACAACTCTTCTTTCAAACGTGACCAGCTAGGAACCCTGTATTCAGCATAAATTTCCATATTAGTCGGCCGATGTGGTGAACTATAATGGCGAAAAGGGTAGCAAATTGGTTATCTCGAGAGTATGATTGCTAAATTAGCATCAATCGTATGCTCTAAAGGCCGGGTCTACAGTGGGCTCATCTGCAATTTCATTGCAAGCGAGTCCTGAGGTTTCAAAAGGTTGTCGTGGCATTGCTGAGCCTAGTGTAGTAGCGGCATGCTCACTCCAAACTCTGCAATTCTCACATAGAACTATTGAAGCTCCGTATGGACTGAAAGTGCAATTAGACACAAGGAACAAACTCCAACTACCTCGCACGATGTGTTGACATGAACTAAAATAGCCGCCGCTACAGCCAATCCCCGAGGCGCTTCCTTGGATGCAGGCAGTGTGAATTTATGTAGCTAATCCTTCTTAAGCAGAAAACCCAATGACGAGTAGCTCGGTGTTAAAACGCGTGGATTTGTTTCCTTTATCAACTTCGGATTGAGTACGAGGTCTGCGCGTTGCAAGTAACTACCAGAATGTAATAATGTGACTCTTCCCGTGTGCTGAAAACCTGCGCACAACGCTTCAAAAGCACCTCAGAACACCGAGTTTCACAATACAAAAGGTACACGATTAATCGTGAGCGTAACGCATATAATTACGGTTCGTTGTATACACTTAGCCAATGCTGCCGTTGAACTGTGCCTGTGCTATAAAACCGAATTGAGGAGCTTAGACACTGGCAGATAAACTCCAGAGCACGGGAACGGGAACTACCGCAAATTAGTACTCAGAAAGCACGTGGCCTTTTCGGCGGGACCCATATACTTCCTGCCAATGCTGAGCAATATTCGGACTTCTTTCGCCGAGCTTATTCTTATTTTATCCTTTCTCCCTCTTCCGACAGGGGGTCGACCAGTGAGATTCATTTCCTCTGCTGTAAGTCCGGGCTGCAGGGCCAGCTTTACGAAAACACAGAGATCCTTAGATAAGAGAGCCATTGATGCCCGCGGGCTTTATCCTGTCTACATGTCAGCAGTAGATGAGAATGTCAGCGCAATGCTGGCATCATCAGCATCTGGGACGACGATGATGATTATCGTTCAACTGGCCTCGAGGATTTTCACTTTCACCGCCAATCAGTTGGTTTTGAGGAGCTTACCTCCGGCCATAATGGGTGTTGCGTCCCAACTGGAGCTATACTTCATCTCCATATTATTTTTCTCCAGGGAAAGTATCAGGATGGCTATACAAAGACAGCCATTGCAACTCAAGCCCCTCACCACGTATTCCCACAAGGACAGCACTGGTACAGCTCCCAAAAGGAGCAATGATGTATCTGAAGCCCGAACCATAGCCTCGCAGTCAGTAGTGAATATGTCCTACTTGAGCCTTGCCTTGGGGTTCTTGTTCGCTCTGGCATTTGCTGCATCTTATGTACAGCTAGCATCGAGAGAGGTGTCAGAGTTACCCTACTACTACGCAAGCGTGATAATCACATCCATTGCATCCCTTATGGAGCTCTCCACTGAGCCCTTCTTCACTGTAGTGCAGCAATATATGCTACACAGACAACGTGCAGTGGTTGAAATGAGTGCAGCCTTTGTAAAAAGCCTTACAACCTGCCTTGCCTGTGCGTGGGCTTCCAGAGCCGGCCATAGCATTGGCGTTCTCCCATTCTCAATTGGTTATCTCTGTTATTCTTCCACTCTCATCTGCGGCTATATGCTAGCCCTGTCGGGGGTTACAGACGCGCAGAAGTTTTCTATGCTTCCCACAAAGATAAAGTCAAGGTAGGTTATGGGAAAGTAAACTTACAATATCCTATCTGATAAAAATGTCCAGGGACAGATCAGAGTATTTCATGGGAAGGTTCTCATGGCCGATGATAGGGCTATCCACGAATGTGTTCTTTCAATCCGTGATAAAACATCTTCTCACCCAGGGTGATTCAATGATGCTGGCAACAATGACGAGTTTAGAAGACCAAGGCATATACGCACTAGCCTCTAATTACGGGGGTCTCCTAGCTCGCGTCTTTTTTCAGCCCATTGAAGAAAGCAGTCGAACGCTCTTTTCTTCACTGCTAAACTCTGGCGGGAGCGGACATCTACGTGTGAAAAACATCGATGCTGCTAAAACTCAGTTGACAGAAGTTCTCCATGCATATAGTCTGATGGCTATTGTGGGGTTCCCCCTCGGTCCAGTTCTGGCACCTCAATTGCTACGTCTGTTAGGCGGGCGCATCTGGGCTTCACCCAAGATCAGCAGCCTGCTTTCACTTTATTGCTACTATATACCATTTCTAGCTTTCAACGGTATAAGTGAAGCATTTGTCTCATCGGCAGCAAACTCGGCAGAACTACGCAGACAAGCGGTATGGATGGGGGTGTTTTCAGCATGCTTTGCATCTGCCGCGTACTTATTCTTGAAAGTCGGCGCTCTCGGTGCCCACGGAATGGTATATGCCAATATTGTCAACATGGCAGTTCGCATCATCTGGAGCTTTTCCTTCATTCGGAAATTCATGTCTCGACACGGAAGCGGTATGGCTATTGCTGAAGTTAGCCCACGGCCGCTTACCTGTATCGCCAGTGTCACGATGTCTATGGTTCTTACCTCAAAGGGTCTATATGCTCTTGATATCTATAGCACGAGAGATGCACTGATATTTGGAGCTATGTACATTCTTCTCGTGTAAGTCTCACCGTTTTATTTACATGCAAGCCACAGTCTAATGGTGTGTATAGGTCTTATCTCGAGAGAAAATCTTTGTTCATATATTACACAAAAGCCCGCGAGCTGGTGAAATGCAAAACGTCCCGAACTCCAAAGTCTAAAGGCGAATGAGTCATCATCAATCGTCAAAAACGATCTTGGTTGATGTCTTATTGGTGTCGACATCCTTGAAAAAAGCGCCATATGCGTCATGTTGCTTCTTTTTGACCGTTGCCCCGAATTTGAGAAGATCTTCGGGTACATCCTGGTTAGCCGCTTTTAGAACATTTATTAAACTATAACATGTTAGTCTCGGTTTAAAAATTGATCGGAATGCTTCCAAGACAATGACTACTTACGCTCCGGATTGAGCTTTATCAACCTCAGTAAATAGAGTGATGGCATGGCCCTCAGCTCCAGCACGGCCAGTTCTTTGAGCCAATTAGTCGGCGAGACACAACATACGGGGACGAGGTACTTTACTAACCGGCCAATTCGATGTACGTAATCCTCAACGGTGAGGGGGAACGTAACGTTGATGACGAGCTTGACTGAAGGTATGTCGAGGCCACGAGCTGCCACATCAGTTGCGACAAGAACAGTTGAGACGCCTTTTTTGAAGGAATCCAAACTTTTGAACCGTTCTTGTTGGCCCAAATCTCCGTGTATTCCGGCAACCTTGAAGCCTTTATTCCAAAGAAGTCTCTCAACACGCACAGCCTCCTTCTTATACAAGCAGAACACCAGAATCTTATCCGAGCTGGATGGGCCCTTCTGGTATTTGTTCAATAACTGTACAAGCCTCTGTTCTTTTTCGTGCGGCTTCACCACTTCAACAACTTGCTTGATTCTAGTGTTTGCGCGCGGATCAGCCGAAGGCTCTCCACCAATTGTGACCGTCACAGGAGAAGTCATGAACGTTGCAGCAAGGTCCCTAACGACCGGGGGCCAGGTCGCAGTGAACATAACAGTTTGACGCTTTGACACCGGCATGGGGCGGATGATATCTTTGATGTCCTGTTCGAAACCTTTATCCAGCATGCGATCCGCTTCATCCAGAACAAGATACTTGACTTTTCCTAGATCGACTGAGCCATCATTCTGAAGATCCTTCAATCTTCCTGGTGTCGCCACGACAATAGCAGCAGTCTTCAAGGCCTGGCGTTGCTCATCTTTATTCACACCCCCGAAGATACAAGCTACCTTGATATCCACTAGTTCTGCGAACTTCGAGATCTGATCATGTATTTGCATTGCAAGTTCTCTCGTTGGGGAAATCATCACCGCTGTCGGCTTATAAGGCTTTCCCTTCTTCGCCGAGTCTTGTAAGTTTTTCAGGCAGGGCAAGCCGAAGCCGAGCGTCTTACCACTCCCGGTTTCAGCGATGCCGATTACATCACGGCCAGCAAACAGGAAAGGCCAGGTTGCTGACTGGATAGCAGTCGGGGAACTGAATGACTCAAGAGGACGGTACAGTGCACTATTGCAGGTAGGTAGGTGAGAGAAAGAGGTAATGGGATGAAGCTTCGTTGCTCCCTCTAAGGTGTCCGTGATCTTGACGGAATTTTCTTCGAGGAATTTCTCTATGACTGCCGAGGAAGGCTCTTTCAGGTCAGTGTTCTGCGTCTCAGAAGCCTGCGCACCAGCCTTGGAGACCTCGGCCTTCTTTGTGTGCTTTTCGTTTCTTGACTTCTTTTTCGCCCTATGCTCCGTGCTACCCTTATCTTGGAGTTCACGCTTGGCCATGTTGTTTTTGTTGCTTTGAACTTTCTCAGGTTCAAAAGTGGAGAATATGTGTAAGAGATTTTGTAACAGAAAGAAAGAAAAATAATCGTAGAGCAAATCGGCTGCGTCTCGAAGAAATAACAGTGAATGCTTTGAGGGCGCGTTCTTTTTGCCCTTAGAATACTTTTATTGTATTTTTTTTTATTTCGCTATTTTCTTTTTGGGCTTGCCTGTCTGGAGCAAAACTTTGATTCGGGATAAAGTACTCCATATGGTTAAAACTCTTGCCCTAGTGCTGCTCCGTCCCGCTCCTTAATCCTAATCCAGTTAGTTACTGTCTGCGCCGCGGAACAATCTAGCCTTTTGTGTCCTACATGCAGTAGACGAGTCTACGGAGTCCTACTCCGTCGTAGTTGTATTTGCAGCCGAGTAGTATATAGATATAGTATAGTATTCTTAAAAGAGAGCGTCGAATCAAGGAGGCTCAGAAAAAACCAGCACTCGAAAAGAAGAAAATCACCGGATCAGGGCGTCTTTAAGAATCTACAAAACTTGCGGGCATCCATTGGGATACGTTCCGCCACTACTTTATGCCTACACTAAACCTGCGTTCTCTACCATGGCTGCCTTCGTAGTGATGTCGTTGTTGATTTGCTTGTATGTACGCCGACCGTCTCCGCTTCCACCTTCAAGTCGGTGGTTGGCTTCTCAACCGGGCTAGTTTGCATTCAATTAATCGTGCATATTAGTTTTCCCTTGGTTTGATTGCTCTCCAGCAACCTATGGGCATCCGCGATTTCTTCAAATGCGAAAACCTTCTCGATAAAGACCTTGAACGTTTGATCGTTGAATTTGGGTAAAGCATGGTCCACCAGAAGATCACGTAGTCTTCCCTGATAATCTTCATCCCTGCTGCGAAGAGTGCTGCCTTCGAACCTCAATCTCTTCCTCAGGATTCCACTGATGTCAGTATTGGCAGGGAGGACAGAACCACTCATCTGTCCTAGTTGGACAATACGTGCATCCCGTGCGGCCACGTCAAGATTACCTTGATAATGTGCGGCGCCCACAAAATCGACGATAATGTCGACTCCACGACCATTCGTTTCTTTCAGTATCTCGGAGGCCCAGTCTTGACTCTTGTAATTATACCCAGCAGTAGCCCCTAGTTCACGTACGCAGAAGTCAATTTTTTCTTGCGAACCTGCAGTCACATAGACAGCAGATGCTTTGTCGATCTTCGCAAGTTGGATCCCGGAAATTGATACGGATGAAGCCCCTGCATGCCAAAGAACGGACTTTCCAGCGCTGAATTCGCCAATCAGATAGAGCGCCTGGCTTGCAGTTATCCAGGTCTAAGGAGATGGTGCCATGGTTATTACAAATTGGTTCCCTAGGAGTCGAAGGTCAAGCATACCTCTGGTATTCCTGCAGCCTCCTCCCATGTCAACCCCGAGGGTTTGTGTATCAACATCTTGGTCGACACGGAGATGTATTCCGCATAGGCCCCTGACAAAATGTAATGAATACTTACACACTCTATCAAAAAGAATGCCACGTACCGCCATAGGCTAGGCCAAAAACACTGTCGCCGATTTGAAAGCCATTGCTTGTATTCTCACCAAGTTCCTCTATCACCCCGGAAAATTCGACCCCCATGGTGCTAGGAGCTTGCGGAGGAAGAGGATATTTTCCTTCGCGTTGAAGCAAGTCCATTCTGTTCAGCCCGAATGCCTTGATCTTGACCAAAGCCTGCCCAGGACTGGGCTTCGGTATTGGGATCTGGTCAACGAACAAAGCATCGGCACTTCCTTTGCCCCCTTGGATACCTGGGTGTTCTTAGCATATCACGCTCGAGAGTCTGAGCAATGCAACTCACCAATGGCTCTCATGATGCCTACCATCTTTGCTTGACACTTTAGATGGGTTGACTCCAAATTTTTCTAAATCGCTTTTACTCTGCCCTGTGGTTATTTGTCTCGGTTATGCAGTACGGCATTCAGCGTCATCATTTGTCATCAAATGGAGGGCAATTAGTCATAATGACAAAGTTGTAGTTAACTAACGTAACTCCCGGCCGCGCCGGCCACCCCTAGTACACCGCCCTAGAATCATTGTATTACTCATTGCTAATTCACTGCCTTTGATAGAAAGAGTGGTTGCATGTAGAAACGTGTTGGGCGGTATACTGGGTGGCCGGTGCGGGCGGGTGGCCGGCGCGGCCGGAAGTTACGTTAGTTAGTTAGGTTAACTGCTTGTTAACTAACTACATGACCAACAGTTGGTTAACTGCTTACTTGCAGGACAAGCTGATCTACCATTCTAATTCACCGTGATCTAGTTGATAGCGTTCAGATATTTGTCATGTGCTCTTTAGCAGTTTAGTATGTATATTCGGAATCTCAAAGAGAATGTAACGGGTTTCAAAAACCCCACACACTCGTGTGCTCCGGGCGTCACATGTGTGTAGGTAGATTCAGGAACCGATCATAAAGGCCTAAAGGAGGTATGGACACACTGCTGGAATTGAAACCATACAGCAGTAAGGAGTTTATGAACATTGATAACAGCACTATATCTGTTGAAATTGCCTATACTATCTGTGTTCATTGGACTCACCTGCTTTCATATGTAAATATCTAGAAGAATTCCCGCTATCTGCCAGAAGTCACTACCGTTCGAACTCTTTGGCAAGTCTATGCGGGTGCAAATCAGCGTGGCTATTCTTCTAAGTCCAAGCGCCAGCTAATGCTAGTCAAGTGTGGTATCACAGAATCAACGTTGGCTTATATTTTCTTTGTTCAGTTTGTAGCACCTTTCAAGATCCATCATCGTTTCTGGTATGCATCCTATCTTAGTGACAGCAGCCGGTGTCACGTAATCCCAAAGCCACAAATTTTGAAAATTTCATTGAACAGAGTGTTGTAAAAAAATAAAGATGCACAATGCTTGCAAGGGGAGTCTCAAGAAGCCTTCAACATGCTGAGAGCATATTCAAGATACATTGTAAGATTCAATAAGATCGGCAAGGCGTGAAGCCTCGTGGGAATAATTTATCGGGTTGGCCGAGGATACCTGATACCGTATACTGGTAGAGTGAATATTAGCAGTGCCATCTGAGCCATGGAACGGATTGCCTTACCGTTGTTGTTCGCCGAAATGATCTATTTTGGCACGGCATCGGAAATTCCAGGTCCGGCAATTGGCATCCTGGAATGCGTCGCCAGCTGCTTTCTCATCCGTCTGGAACAGTTCCATTAACTGATTGGCTGACATGTCCATCATCAATTTGCCCACGTCGTCAAAGCAGCTTAGCCAAAGTTGGCCGGTATGGTCGCTGACATTAACATGCATTATGTAGCGGTAATCTGGTTGGGGGTGAGTCTTATCGCAGCGCTCACAGCGCCACTGGCCGGGATCAAGCTCGGTCACCTTCTTGTTGCATTTTTCTGAGAGACAAGCAGGATAAGCAAAGGACATGTTGTCCTGCTTTATGTAGACGACCGTTGCTTTCAGCGAAAAGTAAACCGCTTCCTCGGACATACCCAATTGCTCCTCTCTTATTTGGGCGATTGTCTTGAACTGGTCTGACTTCATCGTTGATGAGGCTGTGCCTGATAAGGAAGCATGTGAAGAGAAATTCTCATCTCTGCCTTGTGCGTCATACCAGCCTTTGAGCTTGTGGGCTTCCTCAATGTCAGGATCAACCGCCATTGAACCCGAGCTCAGCAAACTCAGACTACGCCCGCCAAAGTCAGAGACCTTCACGCCTTTGAAAGCTATTACAGACTCGGGCAAGGCGTTGAAATTCTGAGCTGTAGTGCCCCAGATAGTCAGGCGAACAGAGAACCCGGTATTGTCAACCATGACCAGCTCGCGCTTGTTATAGGGCTTGTTTGTAGTTTTGGATGTGATCTGTGAAACCCCCATGTCCTCTTTCAGCACGCCTATCACATCGATCGTAGTATCTTTTTCTACCGATTGGAGGTCACCGATAGAAGTGAAATTGAATCGAACCTGGGGAACATCACTCTGATCCTCTGCCTGATGCGACATGGTAAGTTAAGAGTTCAATGCGAACCGAGCACTCTGACTGACCTTTTCAACCACCGTATCCCTTTCAAAAGTCAGCTCATAATCGTTGTTCAAGTTCGTGAACTGCTTTTTGGCAATTTGCACGCGGCAATTGGAGATATAGTATACAGCGCCCTCCTGGAAGACGTCATACAGCATGTCGCATTGGTCGTTGAATCCAGTAGCTCGTATTTCGCCACTGTCGTCCAGTAGATTGACGCTGAAGAGCCTCCCTTCGGTATTCCTATTGTGCCAAGTCTTGATGTTTGTCTTGCTCGTACAGCGTGCTTTGATCGTCCATTTGTGAGAATATGGTGAAATAGCTTCGATGGGATATATAGTAGCATGCGCTGCGGCCAAAACAGGTCGTGCTGACTGCACTCCGGTATTTGACTGGGCCTGTGCGCCTGACATCTTCGATCCATAGAAACCGTTGCTGGAGATTGTAGTGGGTTGGTGCTTGTCGTCTTCATCTGTTTTACTTTCGAGTGGTTTTGGTTCGCCAATTTTCTCGGCCTCTCCCAGTCCCTCCAAGACTTCAAGGTCGAGAATAATAAGGATCCTATCTCGTATGTAAGGTATATCATTGGTGGTGAAGACGTCAGTAGTCACTTACTTCTTGCCTTTCACGGAGTTCGCTTGGAACGACTTCAGGCGAACAAAACATCCCTTCCGTAATAGCGCACTAGACACCATGGGGTTCAATTCTGGAAGATCAAGGTTAGTGGCAGTGTCTTAGGCAAGTCATCAGGGTTATGGCACACTTACGGGTCGCAAGCATCGTCTGCACATAATTTGAAATGTCACTGAATACCGCTCGGTAGCGTTCCGGGTGGCTCTGTTGAGATGGCAATTGCTTTATCTGGACACATTGAACAATAGGCTCACGCGTTTGAGGCTTTGTATCATCGAAGATAGCGCTTAAGGGAAATTAGTGAGATAATGCACAGGGAGTTCCAGGAAACTGACCTGAGTGCCCCAACGGAGACCTGAGATGCTGCTTCTGAAGACATCTGAAATAGTTTCAAGGTAACCTTGTGCCGTCCTACAGACTTAGAATAAAGAAATACAAGCAATGTCTCGGGGTGGTGTAATTCAGAGCTTGGAATGATGAACAGCAGGTGGCGGTCTTGGTGGTACTGGTACAATCCTGCTACTGCTGAAGGACATTTGCATGAACAACAAATCGAGACGCGACCCGGGGTAGTACGCGGTAGGAGCGCGTTAAGCACCCACCCCACTTTGGAATGCGAATATTACGTGTTTAATGGTCTAAGGTTAGTAGTACAGAGCAGATGTCGTAATACACCATACATCCATATGAAAACCGGTACCCCGTCACAGTACTCCGTCTACACAATACACTACGTATCTTAGTTGAAGATCTCTCCCACTTTACCCCACCTTTCTACATACCTAACAGTCAAAGCCTCGACAAAGCAGATATTGAAAAATTTCACCTGCCGCCTTATGCTTATAAAATAACTTTTATGTATGGAGAGGACGCATGCTCTCTTACTGAAAGTCATTGCATCGTGGGACTCGGACTGATTGCTGTCATTCAATAAGTTGTATCAGGCTTCTACATTAGCTTTCAGCACTCCTCATGATGGCTTCTTGTAGCCATGTCACGTCTGAAGGTCAGTTGCGACTATAGCCAAAGCTGGAGTACAGTGCTCATACAGGTTTCTAACCATTATCTACATCGCAGGACTGAGGGAACCGGCTACGTCGCAGGTTGTATATCGAGAGGACTGTACACAGTGTTTCGACTCAATAGTGTGTACCCATTGTTTTTCTATCAATTTGACGCCTAACAAAATATCCAGGACGATGAACATGGGCTTAATGTTTGTTTAACATGCTTCAATGGAGGTTGCGCTGGTGATAGAAATCATGCTTTTCTCCACTATGAACGTTGCAGTCACCCTCTAGCGCTCAACATCAGAAGATCACGTAAAAAGGTCCAGGTGTGTGCCAATATCACTTGTCTGGATTATACTTTTTTGGTTGCATGTGATTGACAAGATGCAATGACAGCGAGATGAGCCACCGCAGAAGATTTCGAAGCTTGCAATCGCAGCTGAAACTGATGAGGACCGCTATGACACGAAAACGCGTGTTGTCTGTTATCCTTGCCGTCAGAGTGATCTCGACGCTTCCAGGGGTAGGCTGCCAGCTGTAATTGATGGCGTGATGAAAGCGATGACCTTCTCCAAAAGAGAGGAAGTCAAGGCCTGGGAGCAGGAGTTCATCCCCTGCGAACACACCATTAATCTCATACAGGGAGCATCAAGACAGATTGAATCAAAGGGTGCGTTGCTCCTCTCTTTTTACATTACCCTCACTATAATGCTCACAATTGCACGTCAGAGCTGGTCCAGTGTTCCATGTGTAACCTTAAAGAGAACCTCTGGCTATGTCTAGAATGCGGAAACCTTGGCTGCGGTCGCAGTCAGTTTGGCGGAGTGGGAGGAAACTCGCATGCACTTGCGCATTCTGACAAGGAGTCGCATGCTGTTGCAGTGAAGCTGGGCTCTATCACTGCAGATGGTTCGGCTGACGTGTATTGCTATAGATGCAATGAAGAAAGGACCGATCCTAACCTGGCTACCCATCTTGCCAATTGGGGCATCAATCTAGCGAGCCGTGAGAAGACAGAGAAGAGCCTTATGGAAATGCAAGTGGAGCATAATATGAGATGGGAATTTTCGATGACTTCTGAGGACGGCCATGAACTTACACCTGTGTTTGGACCAGGTTTAACTGGCTTGACTAACTTAGGAAACAGCTGTTATCTCTCAAGTGTTGTCCAATGTCTTTTCGCCTTGCCTGAGTTCCAAAAACGATATTACCATCCCAACAGCGAGCCGCCGCACACGCAGAGGCCAGCCGAGGACCTTGAAACCCAACTGCGGAAGCTGGCCGACGGCATCCTCTCTGGCAGATATTCCCGACCCGATAGCGATGTTAGGTCTTCACCTGATTCAGCTGAAGTTCCTCATCAGAAGGGCTTAGCACCCGCTATGTTCAAACATCTCGTCGGCCGTAATCATGAAGAATTCTCGACGATGAGACAACAGGATGCGTTCGAA